TCGTGGCTTTCAATCAGGCCGGCATTTGCCATCGAAATCCAGTCCGTTTCAAGGAAAAATTATTGCACTGTCACCATGAAATAGACAGAGTTTGACTCGGTTTGAGAACCGGCACAGGAAATTGTCCCAGGACAAAAACTTCTTTGTATGTTTTCAAGCTAACCGCACCCTAAAAACCTTCAAGTGTTTTTCAGCGGCCAGTCATAATGACATTTTAGCTATTTTTACAGTTTTTGTTGTCCATATAGAACACGATGGATTGTCTTGAGAGTCTCGCAGAAGATTTTAGGACAAACTACAAATCGACTGTGGTCCGCCCTGAAATCTTTTGATGTCGTCTGCACTTCTCTAAGCCTATCGTAACCGCATGCTTTGAACTAATATGACTAAAACTTGACGTTTCTCAGCCTGAAAGAGCGCACTCCGATATTGCAGATTATAAAGAACACACTGTAGTAAATATGATGCGTCTCCGTACGGAAACCAATAGCTGACTATTAGAAAGCATCTGATTTCTGTTTTCGTATGGTGTATATACCGACAGTTTTCATTTTCGTATATTATATATAATCTCTGTGTAGAAATCAGTGCCTTTAGCTTTTTGATCGATGCTGTTATTGGACGATGCCTTATTGTCGATTTAACTGTTCTTTTTTCGTACTTGGGTGTTCTTTGCAATTAGCGGAAATGCCAATTTCAGGATCTCCATCGTGCATCAGTTGAGGTGGTTCTCACGTAGGTGTTGTATTCACATATATTGATTATCTGTGTATATGATTGACTATGTCTATGATTGACTCATGGGATATTAATCTACCAACAAGCAAAACCTGCTGTTGGTCAAATCTGCTGAAATGATTGGCTCGATGCGATTATCTTAGGGTCAACTTAGGACCTGCCCATAGGATTGATGGATCGTGTCCGATTGCGGGCACTTCAAAAGTTTGAGTCCTACTTGAAAGACACCCTCATTGCTCGAATATAACATTCACAATACAAATATAAACTCGTAATAATTCAATAATAATTGTGTTACTAGTAATAGGAATATAAGTCGAAATTATACTCAGTAGATAGAATTTGTTCTACTAAGAACAACATCATCGATACCAGCATCATCAGAGGGTTTGTTTACAGTTATTGACCTTAATTACGACATCGTTTTGCCACTGTTGTCGCCGTCATAAATTGTCATCCTATTTGTCGTGCTTTCCTTTGTATCAGCTTCATGTCACGGTGGCATCGCTAGACATCTACGGGAGATGATCACATATCTGCTTAATTTGTTGTATTAGTTAATGTTCTGTGTGGCGGCGACCCCATCGCCGTTCATTTTCTCTTTCAGCCGCGTTCTTGTTATCTATTCATATTTTGCGTCACGTAGTGCGCCTATTATGTGAAGGCTTGTCCTTAAACTGTTGTCTGCCTATTTGTCCTTCCGACTCAGTGTTTAATATACAACATACAAGACTAGCTCGCCTCTTGCTGACGCCTCTAAACTGCTTTCTAGAACTTTGCTTTTTTCCTATACAGAGATCGTACAGATTTCATCTTTACTTTGCGCTGGACACTATACACCTCGATACCTTACGGTGTCAGTTCTGCTACTAGATAGTTCTGCATTTACGTCTAACGTATCCGAAGACTAAGTATTTTGGGTGATTTTCTTGTTTTCGATAATGTTTCTCCGATTACCCGATTGTGATGTTATATGTTCAGCACGTCTGTTTTTTTCCTGTTAGCATAGGACTGGAGCTTAGTTCTTGGATACGCCCGAGGGGTTCCGCTTTTTATTGCAGGAAGAATTCATTGTACAATCGGAGTAGTGTGACTGAGTCGTGGCACCAAGGCCAGCGAAGTTACCTTCGTAGCGAAGCTAAAAAGGTAAACCTAATTGGGCCTGTTTTCAGGTTGTACGTTGCAAATATCGTTTGTCATGAGAGATGCAGACTTTCGGGCATGCAAAACAGCTTCGCGCCTGTCTAGTTAGTTTGCCATGATAGTGCCGGTTTGCGTAGTGCTACATACGAACTTACTGGATCTTGATATGTTATTTGTATTTACGTCCCTGTATCTTACGTAGTGCACATAAGGCATCTGCAGAATTATACAGGTTCTTCGAACACCATAATCAGGTTACATGGTCGTTAGCCTATTCTTTTTAGGTTGTTGGCATTGTCGATGTTGTAGATGCTATTGCTGTTGGGGCATGGGGGCTGATCTATGTTTGAGGCGTTCCTTCGATTTCTCGACTTATACAGATGATTCTCGATCGGTTAACTGTCCAGTGAATGATATACGTGCCATTCCCTCGAGTTCGCATATGATGGTTTGTCGAGTGTTACGAAAAACTAAGTACTGATCATTTTGCTAGAGTTTGAAAGCGTAAACATATGCTTTTTACTAACTAGCTAGTATACAATATATTCATAATTCTGATTATGTGTTTAAGACTACACGAAAAGCAACGCCACACTCAATTTGTGCTACGTCACCGAGTTCATACTGCCTCGGCAGGAAGGGGCCTGCAGTTGAACTACGCTCTATTGATTCATTAAGGAACTTAATACGATGAAACGTACGTTCTGTTTCGAGATGATGAATCGGTGCATTTCGAATCGTCATTTTCTCTCTCGTAAAGGAAGAAACAAGCGGGGGTTTGCTGACTACACTGTTACTCGGGCCATATCGTCGGCGTCGGCCAATTTTTATAGGCTTAGTTAAGCCGGTTGCTTCATAATCTTTTACGTAGATTTGAGAGGTTCACTGCTAATCCTGGCGTTCGCCAAGTGTCGTCGGTGTGCATATGTCGCCCGTGCCAGTGATAAGCGCTTCCGAAACCGACGTCTCCCCATGACTGAAAACCAGCCGATCGATGCATAAGACTCATTGAAACCACAATTGTAATTATCATCGACATTACGTGACAAGATCTATGGTTTATATTGTTAATTAATGCTCGTAATGTTCTTGTCATTTTGAACTATAAATTAAGCCGTTCTGCCATGTAGATAATATAATGCGTAGCACATGAGCAAATAACACGCCACGCGTATTATACGAAAACAAAGAAAACATGCCATATTCACAGCAAGATAGATATCTTTAAAGTGAACTCTTCTGCACACGGAACATTGCTATACTTGGCAAAAGGATGTCACAACTGCTATTCGCAGATCAGAAGCTTTTCATACCTGTTTGCTTGTCTGAGCACAATGTCTCTGTGAGAGGTACGCATGTGTCTCATAAGGGTGGCTTCTTTGGCAAATTTTTTCTGGCAGTGGGAGCAAGTCAATGGGCGGATCTGCAGATGGATCGATCGCAAGTGACGATTTAGGTCCCCACGTTGCGAAAAGCCCTTTGGACAATGTTGACAGAGAAATGGCTTCTCCTTATTATGAAATCTCTGGTGCGTTACTAGGTCCGAGTGACGAATGTAGCTGAAACAGAAGCGACGGTCACAGCAGAAACATCGGGAGCACTTAATTTAAGATATAAGTAGTGAAAGGAATTTGCTTAGCCTTTGTCTATACGGTCTGTTCTAATTTGGCCTACCGGCGACTGCAGTAATTATTAAAAACTCAAGAGGCCCTTACATCTGTCCAACCGTAAGGACTTAATACTTTAGAGTTGCAGGAAATATTTAAGACCAGATTCGGCTTAAATGCAAACTGATTTGCCTATCGTCAGTCATAAGCGACAGTATACCCTATCAAAAATAATATGCGGTCGTGGTATAAGAATCTCTCACTGTTTCCAAAAAGAGTATAAAACAATTATATCCCCATAAAGCTTATGGCCGTTAAAAATGTTTCAGTAGTTACCCTTTTCCGCAAATGTCGCAACGATGAGGCTCGGTTCCTGCGTGAACGTGCAGGTGTCTCGTGAGGTCGCACCGCTGAATGAAACTCTTGCCGCATTCATCACAGTGGAAACGCTCGTCTTCTTCAGAACGAACCGTGTGAATCTTCTGATGTCGAGTATAATTGCCTATTGCAACAGTGCCATCCGTAACCAACAAAGACGATGAGGCAAGCTCACTCTAGCTCACTATCAGTGTATGTAGTCTAGCTATCATGTAGGTAACTAGTGCTAAATCATTTGAGGATACAAAATTGGATACAATGTTATTTTCGGGATTGCTATACTAATACAGAAAACCGACCTAGCCGATTAAATGTGGCTGTACATAGCTTGCACTGAAAAGGCTTCTGGGCCTTTTTGTCTGATCCTGGACATCCGACCCCGCCTCCGCTGCCCATTCCTCCAACGGTTGTCAGTGCTCCGCCGTGTCCAGTTTGTAAAGCCAGGCCTTGACCAAGCAGCGAGATATTGCCTAGACTCAGCCCATTTAACCCATTAAGTCCGCTTAGCCCCAGAGAGCCAAGCGACAACTGAGCTTGATTCAGCGTCAGTGAACCCTCGCTGCCGACGCCGCGAACGCTCAACTCCTTTACTGCACTGCCATCCTCCTGAACAATCTACGCTTGGAAATCGTCCGACAGAAAAAAAGAAATGACAAAAACACGTAGTTGATTAAACGTCACAAGAACATAGAGACAATGCTGTCAAAGAGTCTTTAAAAAAACCGAAAGTCGTTAGTGCTTTCTGAGACAATTCCGTTTGAACGATAACTCGACGATTAGGTGAGAATTATAACGTTAATGAGCACTGCGCTCAGAAAAACTGACCCCGATCTTGTAAATGGGTCGCGTGCCTCATAGTACAGTGGGTTTACTTTTTGATGGTCATCCTGTTACCTGTAGCTTGACGGTTGGCGTCTCAGGCACGAGAAGTATATTTCCGAATAGCACAGGCTCTCCTGCGGAAGCCACGTTAAGCACATGGTGGCCGGATGTACCGGATACACCGTTAAGGCTTAGTACTCGGATTTTGCTCTCAAGACAGGACACCGACTGAACCATAGACGGACTGGAGGCCGACACAACAGCGTCGACGATGCTGAAAGGAAGTCAAGTAGTACTACATCTCTTCCACCAAGTACGTGTACGTAGATTCAAACGCGTGTACACTCTAGCTAAAGTGGCACTCGTTTTCCTACTCATCAATAAATGTTTGAGCATTGTTCGCTTTGTTTTTTCAATTAATGTAAATAGATAATAAACTATATATACTTGACTGTAGGTGGCTGTGACTGGCTCGCCTGTGCAGCATTTGTTATTGAGGTTACAGTGACGGCATTAGCAGGTTGCTGCTGCTGCTGCTGTTGTACTTGCTGCTGCGTTCTTTGGGTTTGGGGCACCGAGGGCTGAGTCTGGGCGCCGTTTGGGGGCGCGGGTGGGGTTAAAGGTGAGCCGGCCGTTGGTTCCAGTGTTGTCGAGGTCACCTCGGCTACTTCCGTGGCAGTTTCCGTTGAGCAGCTCACTGAGACCACGCTGGCATCTCGACCGACCGGCGATGTTTCACCCAAATTTGTGCTTGTACAATCCATCTGAGGGACGGTTAGATTGCATAATACCAATGTAGAGGATGTTAGTTTTCAACAAATTCGGTGACCTGTTCAATAGAGGCAGGTGCGTCACGCCATTAAATATTAAGATCGTTCGCTCAAAATAAAATCACTTTTTAACTTTTTACAGTATTCAGTTTTCATTAATTAATACTACTGTCATGTTGTTATTGTCGTTATTATTATTCTTGCCTGCTCCTCGCACTTCGGATCCGCCTGGGCAGCTGAAGACGCAATGACTATTTGCTGTTGCTGATTCGCTTGCTGTTGTTGGTGGGGGTGACCATGTAAGAGCTGAACTTGAACCTGTCGTTTTGATTTTTCAAGGTACAACTGTCCATCGTTAAGGTATTCTGAAGCAGCTCTCTCGTCATCGTCCATTTCTGCACCATCTTCGCCGGACGTCTCTGGTATATGTCCAGTTGATACCTGCACCTGAACTGTGGCCACAGGCCCGTGTTGTGTTTGCGCCTGCAGCTGTGCCAACAGAAGATCTTCCGTATCATATTCACCATTTGACGCTCCTGAAAGTAACGAACCCATACATATCAGCACAAATGAGTGCTTAGTTATCTGCCACAGGCCAATGATGAGGGTCTCATAGCACGTTTAATGGTAACAGGGAAGATTTTAACATAGATTTTGCAGCATTTGTTGCTACAACGTATAGTCATCTTCGTATTGTAGAATACCATACGCAAAGAACATTTCTTGTGCACCATGGTGGAACAATCATAAGTGAAGAAACCGTTTTTCTCCTAAATACAATGTATCGATCGACAAAGCGTATAAAAACATCTTCAATAGACAATATCTCCTATTTTACTTCTAAAAACGTACTGTATTTTCATCTGAAAGTTATCGGTTGCTTATTATATCGAACTAACCGGCGTTTTCGTCAGCAAGAACAAGGTTGCTTGGGTGCTCACGGTGATGCGTCGAGTGCTGCAGTGTACTGAGGGCGACATCTTTACTGGTTTCGTGAAGAAGGGGCGATGCGTCGAACGAGTTCATCACCTCGGCAACGTCATTCACGTCCGACACTTCATCATCAACGTCACCGGGGCCTCCAGCCCCGCTAAAGTCGTCTCCCCCTGCACCCGACGGCGAGGGGGCGCACGACTCCGTTTTGATGAATTGCACCTCTTCATTCAGCGCTAGGAAGTCGATTACTTGATTTTCCTATTGTAACGGATATTGGTGTCAAGTAAAAAATCCAATAATGAAACGTTTTAAATCAGAGCTCATCTGTTTGTCTTTTGTCATCTTACATCTCTATCTTTCATTCTAAATCCGGAGAAATATGACAGTTAGTTTTTGTAAGGGATGCAGCAGAGCGTTTCTACTGAACTAAAAAGAAAAAAGTCAAATCCGCAAGTATCTATGAACTTAGCTGCTACAGATACATTGGCAGAGACTTTGCCAGTTATGCGCGTTGAGGATGCAGGAATATCTAGTAACAATTAGTTGAAAATTGCAATAGGTTTGTCATTTAGACAGGAACACTCAGTATGACACACGAAATCACGTGTACAAATGGCGGAATTTTAAAGAGCTTCAAAAATGCAAGGTTTACTTTTATTACTATTAACATTTCAATTCGGCATATTAACATCCGATGTATTCCAAACGACCTACTTCTCTACCAAACAATTCTGCTTTCTAACACCATTTGTGTCGACCTACGCTTGGGAATCAATAAAGTACTAAGTTATCGGCTATATGATTATCCTGAGAGAATGTAATATCGTGGCTCCAATAACGAAATATATTTAAACAAGTCATCGAGGTGCAAAACAATATGATCATTTCCCTTCGTCTCAGGTAGCGGCGGATTGAAGGGAACGGCACAGGACTTCTGCGACAAAGTGTTTTTGGTCAGGCCCAAAGTGATTCGATAGTATTTGAGAAACTACGCAATAGCTAGATTTGACCAATGATTCAATCAAGTTCTCTTGCTAAAATTCAGTAAACTTCCAAATAACGTCCTCCACCAACCCATTGTAAACAAACATACCATAGCAATATTCTGACCCTTTTGCAGTACTCCGGCTGTTCACTGAACACTAGTGCAAAGGCCGAAAATAACAATACATTTAGCTGAATTGTACCCGCATAAGTTCCTTTTTCCACTGTCGTTATTAAACGCTGCAGTCTCCGCAATCCCGTCTTATTTGCACTCACCTGGAGTTTACTGTCGGATGTAGGCGCTTTGAGCAGCGCGGCGGCCGAACCCGCCGTGAGTCGCTGGAGTTGTTCCTCACTGAGCGAGAGATATTGCACCTGACCCGCGCCTTCTTTGAGGAGCTCGGTGCTCAGCTGCGGCACCAGGATCACCTGGGTAGGCAGCTGCCCGCAACTCATCGTCATGGATGAACGCTATCGTGTGCGCTTTATGATGGCGTGACGTTATCTTTGCCGTCGCCACCCGCCGCCTGTTGGATCCGCCGAATGTTCGAAGCGGACCCGTGCTCACGGTTCAGCCACGCTCCCCGATCTTTTTCGCGTCGTCGCCGTGCGCCTGTACGGCGGCCCTAGAGACGCAGTCTTCCCGGGTCGCTTAGGCCTAACGCGGGAGCGGTGGCGGACACCTCCCGCTGCGCCCGATGCATCCGGTCGCTTGATCGTGCACCTCACTAGCGCAGGCCAAAAAAGACTGATTACGATGGGCCTTCCTGGTCTTCCGAAGTCGACATATCGCTAGGCTGGAAGCACAAGGGGCACAAGTGAACGCTGGTTTGTCGTCACGTCCCCCCACCACCGCCACACACGTCTCACGAACACACGCGCTGAGGGCGCAACCCTACTGTTGTTGTTGTGGTGACGGTGAACGGACAAACCTTCGTTCAGGTTGCGTTGTGGACTGCTAGCACACTCCTCTCCGGCGCTGGTTAATACCAGGGCGACCCCACTTCACTCCGGGCTCTACCGCGCTGCTCTAGCTCCCGCTGTTACTGCTGTTGCTTCACTCGCAGTTGCCCTCACACTACTCGTTGGCTTGGCATTCCGCACTCGGTTAAAACTCTACTAGCTTTTCTTGCCTATGTAGGTGCAGGCGCTGAGAGTGGGTGGCAGCAGAAACAGTGAGGGCACTGCGAGGGGCAAGTGGACAGCCGCAGCCGCCTGAGCAGACTACCTCTCCCCCTCGTTTTGTTCCAATTGCTAGTCGAGATATCGCCGCCGAAGGCACAGAGGTAGACTGAGATAGACGGACCCGTAGAATGTTAGACTCTACCGTCGCCTGCTTACCATGTCTCTCGCTCTTGAAATTACCTCACTACACTGCCACCTAATCTGCTAAAGTTGTTTTAAAAGAGGGCAGTAGCACGTTCCCTACAGGGAGTTCCCATTGCACGGGCTCTCTCTCCAGGACGAGAGCGGCACACGGCTAAACCAAGGCCGGGTCTAACGGTGTCACTGTCAAAGCTGGTCAGCAGACTGTTGGCATACATGACCCTCCCCCCCTCCCTCCCCCCCAAAAACAAATGCGAGAGGCGTCATAGAGGAGGTTGACGAAAAGTGGGAAGAGGTTGAGTCATTTGAGTGGTGACGTCACTGCTTACATCTGACCACCCCCCTTAATTTTGAATCAGCTGTAGGCCTTCCACTGCGCCCCTAGGCAAGAGGCACAGACGGAGGCGAGGGTAAGATGCCTCTCCAGGCAGACAGTGCGCTGTATCAATCGGAAAGGATGTTCGTTATCGTAGAATGGACAATCCTCGGCGAAGTTTTTTGTTTTCTTTTTATATAAAATCACGGATAGCGTTGTGTTTTATTTAAACGAAGTTCGTTTGGCCATACCCTGTAACGAAGGTTTACAAGGAGAACAAAGGTCACTGACCAGCGTTTATTTTGGGTATAGGCAATAGTAGACAGAAACGAAAAGATAATCTCTTTCTGACAAAATTATATCGCTAGCTGCTTATGGGAAATATTTGATGGTCTTCTGGCAGCATGTAAGGATCGACGTTTGCCACTATCTTACTACGTGAATCACTCACTAGTGATCAATCAAGGGTAGACCTTAAAGACAGTTCATTTCAATAGCGTTCAATAACTAAGTGACTTATGCAAAAACTAAGTGGGTGTCTAAATGGTTCCTTTCGGATCTTGCTGTTCGTGAGTTTCGTCTGAGTTCCTGTTTCATTGTTGTCGCCGGTGGATTATAGCGCTCTTTCTGAGCTGGATTCATGGGTATGCTGCTGGACGAATGACAATAAAAAAGGAAGTGGCCATGCACTAAAATCGACCGAAAACTATCGAAGAGCGTGCTAGGGTATTATGGGAGCTCTCGTGCTATATGATGTTAATTAAACCGAACTTACATGCCGGTTGCCACTGGTGCAGTACTTCGGAAAATGGCTAACGTGTCCGACGTATAGCTTTGACCCAAACTCCTTTTCCTCTTAATACTCTCATTATCTACACAGTTTCAAAAATGAAGTAGCTTCTACGTCTACTGAAGTCCTTGACACGAAGGTTATCCCGTTATTTTGCTCGACTACTTTTCTAAAGTTCATAACGATGCCACGCATTTTGTCGACTTCAAGATCGCCAACGTTTTCAATACGTACAACGTAAGACATCGTCACATTTTAGTCACGCAAGGCCCCATACGAATTTGTAACGCATATAATCCCCGGCCCCGGATACTGTGACCGTTCATTTTCAATATATTATCAAGTGCAGCATAGCACCCAATAGAATTATTTGTGCTAAGAAAGCGCAAGTTTGCTAAGTTGAATGAAAAATGGATTTCTTGCGACGAGGCAAACGTATGGAAATACTTTTTTCCACAATGAATACGTATTTGTGTCCTGCTACCGTAAATTTGCTCGCGATACTGAGCTCTGATATAATCGACAGCGTGCAACGTCTAACTAGCAAGAGAACCAGGTAGTAGTTTATAACAAACGGGGCAAAAAAAATTGAACGAAAACAATCGATTAACGGATGCTGATCATACTCGCATTTTTATTTAAATTAAATACATTAATCACAACACGACCATTGTTCTTGTTGTGTGGGTGTGTGATGATTATATTATACTATGCATATAATTATAAAATCCAAACGTCTTGATCCTGCTGTCTTGTCTCATCATATATATATATATATATATGTATATATATATATATATATATATATATGTATATATATGTGTGTGTGTGTGTGTGTGTGTGTGTTATTTTGTCAAGGCACTGGGATTGATTTGTACTGCAAACAAGTAACTTTGTTTGTTTTTTTTTTCATTGTATTTGTCACAATACGAAGAGTAATCATTGCTATAATTATTAGTTAACAATAATTCGTTTCTGTTTTCGGGTTTTCATTCTGTAGCTATATTTCAACATTGTCTCCTTCCTGTTGTTTTCGATCGCGGTTGCTCCGATTCTGTTCATTGAATTATATTACAGGTTATACCAAATGTGAATGCGTAGATATCTCTTTATCATAGTAACAACATTATAGATATAAATAAGTATATGAATACATTTGTAGTTGTGCTATCCGTTGCTATTTGCTAACGTAGCCCTTCTATTACCCTTGCACAGGAAATTGGTGTGCAGAACAGGTAGTTTCGTTAAGGATTATATTAATCACTCTGAATTATTATTGGGACTCGTTACTTTAGGGAACGATGCATGTTTACTATTGCCATTTGTCATAAATTTCTACATCTAGGCGCAAAAAAAAACAATTGTTCAACACAATTATTTGTGCCCGGTTTGTTTTTGGCGGACGTCCTTCGTTCAAAACAGAAATCGCACACTAAAAAACGCCACTCGTTCGCTTCGGTGCCAATTAATCGCCGATCAACGTCACAATCGATTTACGAAACAAATAGAAATGTCTATCTTTTATCGTATAGCAAAATGCACCACGGAATAACAATACGATACGTACCTATCCGAATTTTCACGGAAGCACAGAACGCTGAACGTTCGCACTTTCGTTTTCAATACATACGCCCTCAAACGGGCGATGATGCACACGGCTAATTTCGAAAAGGAATCCGAGAAAAATGCAGCGGTTTTGGTAATTTATCTCTATCGTACTGATCTCTATACATCACATTTGCGCTAACTTTGTTCCGATTTATACATTTATTTCCCGCCTGTTTCTATCTTTAAGCGTCGCAACTAGTACTAATAATATAATAGTTACTTATTATTACTGTATATATATATATATATATATATATATACACGTATATATATATACACACGTATATATATATATATATATATATATATATATTAATTGCATATATATGTTCTTGTTTTGTCGTATTGCGTTATAGTGCCTTTGCTCAATTAACTGGGGATCAAGCACATATTTACGAGCATGAATAGCCCCGGCCAACGACGATATACAGGCAGACCCCACTCGTATGATTGCCGTGTCTATTTGCACAAAAAAATTATCATCGTCATTATTATTATTATTATATGAAAATGAAAAAGCTCATCCTTTTCTTTTCGACACGCTCTTAGTTCAGTTGCGAGGGTGGGGGGCGTATGGTGGCATAGTATCGATGACACCCCCGATCTTTCGTAGACGATCAGCAAATTACAAGAGATGCCTGTTTGTACAGGCCACACAATGCCACTTATTCATTCACAGACAGCGAACGCGCTAAAAACGTCCGCCACGTGTCATAATGTTATTGCGACAATATTATTGTACGACGTAGGTTCTCAGCGGCCTGCTGAACGCTTAACAGACACGCACTTTTCTGCGCAGATATTTCTATATAGTGTGTATACTCTGCAGGTTGATGAAAATTTGTTTTACTGTTTACTTGACTTGACTGGTCTTGCTTTTGACTTAAGGATACGTGCTCGTGCTATTGCACTCTGACTATATTGACAAAACAAAGACTACTTGTCGCCTATCAGGTCGCCTATTGTCTTCTAGCTTTAGAAAGTTGGGCAAGGAACAGCGGCGAACACCGAATTCGATGCGTTTGGTCTGACCTCAAATCAAGAATCCTGGTTTCGCATCAAGAATAGATCGCCAATTTCCCCTATGCGACAGATGCGCGTGAGGGGGTACAATATTTACACTGTTACTAGATACCGGTATAGATTAGGTTTAGAATTGGCATTGTTATGAAGACAACGATCGTAACATGGTCATGCAAGACATATTGCACCTTCGTCTCGTATGGTCGTGCCCTTAACAGAGTCGATCACCCCGATACCTTCTCCTCAGCTATCCTAATCTGACCTGCAACCTAACTCCAATCGTGAGAAATGTTCGCCGTGTTCGACAGTTGCCCTTTATGGCGTTAGCAGCGGCAACAAAGACTGACGCGCCATGTATTACCAACGACGCGTCCGATAGCCACCCTGTATTGCTCCCGGCGTCTCAGGCGATTCTGATATTTTTACCAGACTGCACCGTAATCGTAGCGTATCTAACGAATACAAGTAGTAGATAAGTTCACGTAGACATGTTCCGTCTTATCGAGGCTAAATTCGTTCAATGTTGGCCCCCAGAATATGGTTCGATTTTATTTAAACCAGTCGAATTGGTGCTTTACGAGACTCTAGCGTAACACCATGTTGTCTAACAGTTTAACTGTCAGTTAATACGTGAACCCCGTAATATTGTTATTATTTATGTGTGTTTGCGCTTTCATATATATATATATATATACAATATATATATATATATATATTTAGCGCCGTTGTTGTAGGAGACCAGGTGTGATTGTAGAAAAGCAATTGCAAATCATAACTATAATCATTATACAATATCATTATAGTTATGAAAACATGAATGAATTGTTAGGCTTTCTATAATGCATGAATAAAAAATAAACATAATGAATTCTATTTTCTGATCATCATTATGATATTGGTTAATTGATGACTAGGTAAATGCCTGCCGGTACGCGTCCCAATGGAGAGCCTACATTCACTCTTCAACTGTTCTCTGGTGATCCAGCGCATACATTAAAACTTAACAAAAAGATCTTCATTCAAGGCAAGCCTATCCACTTCTGTCGGGATAAAGGTGCCCCACTTGAAAACTATAGTTAATCATATGCGGCGCTTCTTCACGGGGTATAAAAGTCTACTGCGTTACCATTGTCTATTGTTCTCCTATAATTTTGTGCACATTCAAAAATAGACGAAAATTTACTCGACGCGGCCATTCAGTCGGAGCCGTACCAGAACTGAAATACGTTATTACCCTTAAACGCTAAACTCGGCCTTCTGTGATAGGATCAATAGGCTACTACTACAACAACAACAACAAGACGACGCAAAAGAGTAACTGTAACTAAAACGTGCCAAGCTTCATCTAGATCAACGAGTTTTTTTCTTCGCCATTGACACTTGACTGTAACAATATCGTAACCGTAATTGTAGCTACCGTAATCGTGTTATTACTAGAAACATGAAAGGGAAAACAACAATGGCAGGTGAGATCGGATTAATGAACGATCGATCGATGTCTACGCACAAGCAGACCCTAGAAGCACCGCATCTAAAAACCCTGAACTTAGTCAAACCTGTTTGGCCCTCTATGGAGGCGGCGGCGCCACCCAATTCAATTGCTGTTTGATAAAATCATTGATGACCTCGTTGCAGCTAACATGCCGAAGTCAGAGAGACTAACAATGTCTATATAACTGAATGCGAAGGATCACTAGGCACGTCGATTCGATCGAGGTGTTACTGAGAACGTGTCTTGAGGGTGTCGTCAGACGATTGAGACACGGCCGTATTTGCGTTGGTAGATTTTGTAGATTGCGCAGCGTATCCTCACGTACGATGAATAAACGCAAAGGACGCGCAGGCAACAGAAAGACCGCACATATTCGGAGTCAGTCCCGTTTCAGCCGCAAAGAACCAAAACGAAAATGACGCGCACGAAATACGTTTAAACAAGGAGGTGTACACATATCTGTGTATTGTTACGTTACTACGTTGCACTTCCTACTAACTTCATTGGATAGTTCAGTGATTGGGAATCAATGAGTGCAGGCTGCAAAGCAATGGCATGCAGGGATTGATTATACGTGACATTATGATATACCAAGGTTATATATATATATATATATATTGCTTAACTGGTCTATCTATTTCGCTAGTATTATTATTTTTTTTGATATAATAAATAAATGAATAGATGATTTTTTTTTGCAAAGTGTCTGCGTAATTCATACAAGGCAGGTTCATCATTAATTTTTGTTTGAAATCGCTTCCGTACTCGAGTTGAGTACTTGGAGTCGGTCGGATCTGGCTGACGTCTGTCCATGTTAACAAGCATGGACACCTTTCGTTGGTCTTCCGTGTGCTTCGGAAACGGTGTGTCCTCAAGCAAGCGATTACAATCGTCTTCGTATCGACGTGCTGTTTGTTATTGTATATAGCGATATTGCACTCACACCGATAATCAACAGGACAAGACTGCTTGTTGCCCTTTTTGCCTATTTTTAGTAGCGGTTATTCGCCCCCTGAACTCGTTCTCGCCTTAAATCTATCCTTTGTACCGCCTCTAAACACGTTTGCTCTTCCGTGTCTGTCTATACGCTTTTGCCAGCGCGTCTGCAGTGGTTAATTATAGTAATTCATAGTGATAGTCTAAGCAAATGTACAATAATGTACATGGCGTATAGTAGGTGAAGTAGACGGGAAGAGCAGCACCGGGGTGGATCATTTTGCTACGCTTCATGGGACGATGTGGACATTTCAGTCAAATTATCTCCATAATTTGCCATAGATCTCGGAGACTCAGCGTGACGATCGGCCGACACAACAGCTACAGCAGACAGCCGCGGTTCACAACGCAACTCAACACACACTGCTCACTAACTGTCAATAATGAGAGCAATGGTTGTTGAAATGGGAGTACTTGATAAAGTCTGCTTTGTCAAAATGCTGCCACAGCTTGCCATTTCTGCCGCTCGTTGACGTGATGACAGCGAACAAGGAGTTTGTCCTCTGTCGTTGTTATGTGGCTTAGCTGGTGAACTACACGGTCGGTCGGAGCTCCGCCGCTGTACTCGGCGCCCTGCCCCGCTTCGCCGAGGCAAACGATGCTTCGCTGGCGGTTATTGAAGCACGTTCGAGCTACCGCTAGTGCGGCTATCGCCGACGCTTGTCCTGTGACGAACGAAGCCTGCTGAAGTCAATTGCTGCCAACCAATCTACCTACTACTGCCGGCGGTGGGGATCGGCAGAGGACGGGGTGCAGGAGGAGGATGGGGAATTCTACGACGACGACAGTCTGCTCTGCTGCCCCCGTCGGGTTGGTGAACTCCTTGGAAAAGAGGGCTTACCCTGGCCATGCGCTTCTGGGCGCCGCGGTACCGACGGTAACCCACCACTCCGGTCGGATGCTGTCATCAACGAGACTCTGTCGCTCATGACGAGCGAGCAATTACAGAGGCCGCAACAACGTAGGTACTCCTTTACCCTCTTCTTTTGTTATATATATTGCTATATATTCCCTTGTTATTCCAACTTCTCTCTCGAATAATATCTTGCTTAAGACACACACAACGCACACACACACACACACGCACACACACACGCACACACACACACACACACACACACACACACACACACACACACATACACACACACACACACACAGAGTGATACACACACATCCGGCAAACATTCGTCAGAGAAGCGCACACGAAAACTGCGGCGGCAGTGCCATTCAAAAACTACTCGATGGCTGTCGCGCTACGAGTTCCACTGCTAAATCTTCATTTTTCGTTCTCTCTCTCTCTCTCTCTCTCTCTCTCTCTCTCTCTCTCTCTCTCTCTGTACTTATAACAGGGATTTCGCCGTGAACTCGCTGCTCCTCTATCGAACAGGAATTGGACGGAAGGCACGTACCACTGTTACAGCACGGGCTCATGCGACGCGATCGCAGGGCCAAAAACATACCACGTCAGCATCATCGTCATTATCAGCATCATAATCTTCGCCATCATCAACATGATCATGATCATCATCACCGGTAGCCGTCTCAGTTCGACACATAATGTGGGAAGAACAAAAGCTGGGCGATCATGTGCAGAGAGCAAGCGTGTTTCACATTTTCCCTTTTGCTCGTTAATGAATCGCTTGAATTTTTATGGTTGTCGCAATCGTCAGCTCGTGTCTGTCGTCATACAATCGTCGTTTTACATTCTCGTTTCCCTTTGTAGCTCCTGCACAATATTGTATGTTAACTATGTGTTTGTTATACACGTGATAAGTATGTATCTATCATAAGCGCGTTGCTCCTAAATCAATGTTTGTTGGCTCGTAGGCAGTTGTTATTCGGCCGAACAAGGGCTGATTCTCGGATCTTCCAAGTCCCAGCCGTTAGGTTTAAGCTACTTTCTTCTCATGGAACTGTGCTTGGTGGCGAAGGGGTAACAACGAGGGACGTTGGAATTGTTGATAGTGCACTGATAATGGCGTGTGGGGGTGAAGACCCCCCGGATGTCGGCGGCGGCGAAATCATACCAGCGACGCGCATTAGATCAGCTGGCATCGATGAGGATCCAGCCATGTCTGCTGGTAGAGAATCCGGATGCTTCCTGTATAGTCAGTCGTGGTCATGCGTTCGTAGGTGATGGAAAGATTCGGGGTAACATCAAAATCAAAAAAGAGACGAAAACACAACAAAAGAAAACAGAAAATCCAAATAACTTTGAAAAATGCATACAAACATAAGTAGTAAATAAACGATACAAAAATGAATCCTATGAATAAAATAAATAAAAAGTCATCTCGATGGTACGCCGTTGTTGTAAACAATAACAAGTTAATGAACTTTTTAACGTGAAATTTTTGCATGGAAGCCGCCAAGTAGGCTCATCGATCGTATAAAAATGTTTTACAGATAACTAAACTGTTATGATACCAAAACGTAATATATCTATCTGGCTATTGGCAATCAAATTTGCAAAGCAAATCAAAGGGACACGAGCTAATCTACGTGAAAAACTCATAGAAACAACCCGGACGTTACGAAGGGGGCGAACGAAACGCCCAAAGGCTGTCGAAGCATTCGTTTCGATACCGTTATACAGACCCTAAGCCTGCGTAGCTGTGTAAGCACCAAGAAACATCGATATTGATTAAGTTAATATGTTACTAGCAAAAACGTGTTTCTTTTTCACAAACTATCAGACAAGTTCAATTTCAAGCTCACTATTTCGCGAACGACAGTCGCAATCCGACGAGTACCTGCGAATGTGTCTCCAGAGGTGATCTTTCCGGCTGACGGCGGCGTTGCATAAATGACAGGTAAATGTTGTACGGTATGGCGAGTGAATGTTAGCGATATGTCGATTGAGGGCGCTTCTTGAGCCTACGACTACAGTACAATAGGCGCACGGCCACGAAGACGGTCCATCAAGTCCAGCCGAAATCTGCAGACCCTTGGTCGCGACAAGCATCTGAAGTCCCTGAGGAGTGGCCGCGGTTAATGGGCCACTTGGAACCACATCGCCTGCAATCAACAGTTGCTTAGTAAGTTCAGTCACCACGTCTGTGTCTCTGTAAATTATAGCTCTTTATAAATTAGCGGTGAGGGGCTATCGGGGGGTCGAAAGTCGAAAGAGTGGAATTAGTCGAAAGACAAAACGCAACCTTTAACCTATTTTTGCCACAGAACGAAAACACTCTGTATAGCATCCTTTCCCTGAAGTAGAACAGCTATTACGGAAAACTGGGTTTATCGTCCTTTTTGTCCTATTCGTCTGCATGCTTGTCTCCTTAGCAATCTGTGGTGAAGCCAATCAGCAGGACCATCAAAAGTCACGAAAAACCGCCGTCTTCTTTTTCTGTCCCCACATCATGTATATATATACACACACATCTAATATATATATGTATGTATATGTATATATATATATTAGACGATCACATAAGTGCACGAAGGCAACAGAAGGGAGACGCGCGCACACACACACACACACACACACACAAACATTCGTGAACGTATATAAAATATACGCATCATGATGAATGGCCAAAGATACGTCACGAAGTTAGAAAACGAACATAAAACGACAATGAAATAGTACATTAAAGGCGACAGACGGCGCAACGGCAAAACGCAAAATCGTATTGAATTGACAAAGATCGTCAAGTTTATTTTCTGCAATAGCTATCGAGCCATCATCTGTTTTTTCTGTACTCGTACACTTCAATGTCAATGGTACTTGTATAAGTATGGATGGATGATTATTACTTGGTGTATTGCTGTTGCCGTACATTGACTTGCGTCCGCTTAAACTTGATTTCGTCTTCGTCGAACTCTATTACTGCTTTTTCTCGCTCCGTCGTTTTTTGCCAGATATCTTGTCATTATCATTGTTGTTATCGTAGTGTATAAAAAATTGTACTTGACACTGGTCGGATTTGCACAAATCCATTTCTATATATATGTGTGTGTATATATATATATACACATATATATATATATATATATATATATATATATATCATACATAACTTCTTTCGCACCCTTTTGCTCCAACTTTACTACAATATATTGCTTTTTTCAACTCAAGAATAGCTCATTACTTAAACTGTACAACTCGGACA